GTTGGTAGACTGACTATACATAAACAATAGTAAAGCCATACTTTTATGTACATATACAGATAAATATATTTATGAATTTAGGATGTCCAAATTTAATACACATTCTTGATTTCTAATAATTTTTATTCTAGCGATAGCTATTCTTTAACTTTTTAAGAACTATTATTTATTGCAAATATTAGAAAAGCACAGCTATTAAGATATTTAAATATATGTTTATTATAAAAAACTATGGAATATTAAATATATGTACATAAAATTCAATTCTATGGAAAATTCTTTTGAAATTAGCCAAAAATTTAATAATCATATTAACCTCGATTCCATATCACAAATTCTTTGCCGTATGATTTGCTTAAATTTATAAATCCTATTAACTGAATACCCTAATGTATAAACAATCTGTGTGCCGAGTATAAATTTCAATGTTGGTGGAAACACAACAAAAGATTGAAGATTGAATGTAAACATTTAGATACTAATGGGTTTGTGTGCAAATAAATGTGAGAAATGAAATAAAAAAACATAAATATTGTTTTATATGAATTTATATGAAGGAAAATAAAATATGAAAAGGATTTTTTAAATAAATTATCAAATACAATATCAACAATATCCAAATTTAGTAAAAAACAAATAAAAAACTTGTAAGTACGCTACATAAATACTTTGATATTTGGATAAAAAGTATTTTCTTAATTAAGTATACATACATATGTATACTTTTACTAGAACTTTTGTTTTTTATAATACATATTAAGTAAGTAACTATAATCCCGTTAATATTGCATCTACAACTGGAGATAAAATTCCAACATTTTACAAATTGTTAAAACTTATTTCATTTTTAATTGATTAAATAAATTGTTATTCGAAATTTAACAAATCCTTTGAAGCTACAAATAGTATGACAAACTAAAACTACTTTAACGTCTTGCCTCGCTTACCATGGAGGTTTGTAAACACATAAATGTTGATGATGTTTTACGGTGTGTGTTGTGTTTGAAAATAACTTAATGTGACTCAACATGAAAATGTCACTTAAAATTATGTGAAATAAACATTAATTCCAAATTGTTTGCTTTAAAGTATTTAAAGTGATTTAAAATTTAAAATAATGACTACGTAATGAATAGTAATGAATCCTAAAAAGTTAAAGACTGTTGAATTTTTTTTAAGAATTTAAATTAATTTTTTTTTTTTTTTTGAGTAAACGTGAGTTTTAGTATTGACGTTTATAATAAAATATTTCTTTGACATTAAAAATAGTAGAAATTTCAGAAAATATATAACTCTATAAAGGCTTTATAACGGAGTCTTCTTAGTTCCCAGTTGCAAAAAAAAAAAAACAAATTGGAAAGCAGTTGTGATTATATTTAAAATGTGATTTGTTCTTTTTTTGTAGTAAAATATGTATGTTGGTTGAATTCTACTTAAATTACGGCATACTTTAGTAATTTATTGATGAGAAACTGATTTTGTGCAAGGGGTTTTGTATGTGGGCTAGGGTCAAATATAGGCCTATCCTAGTAAAATAAGGAGGAAGGATTTATGTTTATATATGAGTTTATTATTTATTTATCGTAATATTAATGTTTATAAGTCATTTTTGGGCGTTCAAGCCAACTTCTGAAAGGAACTTTGAATGGGGCAAGCGTAAAATGAGGCCCAATCATTACAAAAACCCACAGTAGCATTTAAACTTATATAAAACAGTAACGATACGCTCTACAACATAGAAATTATTAAAAGAAAATGTTTAACTTTACATAATACATACTAAAATCTCTTTAAATCATTCTCTTTTTTTATTTTATTTTTTGCAAATTCATTTACGTCACATCGGCAACAATTGCATGTTGAATAAAGCAACACTGCAGCCGCAGAAGCAGTAAAGTATATGTGTATACGAACAACAATATAAACATCAAGGATTGTCGACAAACTGGCTAACTGACGACTGGTTAGAATAAAATGCACCAGCAGAAGATAAATAAAAAAATATAAAACAGTTTTATAAAAGGCAAAACGGAAATTAAGTACACAAATCTTACACAGCTGATTTCGTATATGTTAAGAAGACAAAAATAAATGTAAACAAACACAACAGAAACAATGATAAAACTAAACCAAAGCATACTGACAGTCATACTTATATGTGTCTGATATACATACATATGTATGGAAAACAGACGAAGAAAGACAATAATGTTGAAGGAAAATATTACCACGCTTTCTGTCTAATAAGTACAGAGAACAGAGCACAAAGGCACAATTCCTATTAGGTCACAAGGTATAGGTTAACTATGTTTTGATTACGTTTCTACCTTTTCCAAGAAGTAAACATTCAAAATAAACATATTAAAATCGTAAACAAAGTGAGTAAATGGCAAAAACAAATGTAGAACTAAGCGAGAGAAATGAGCAGTTTCATAAAGAGCAGAAAGCCAATCACAAAGGAGATAAAATATAAACAATTTGTGGTATAAAAATAAATCTTTGAAGGTTATAAACAGGCGCAGGATCAGAACATATCAACACGTGGTTCCAGTTTTGTGATTATGTAGTTAAACATCATCATCATCATCGTCGCCACTAAGATAAAATGCATAAAAAACATTTCAGAGAGAACATGTATACAAGAACAAAAAACGTGTGTAAGAGTATTCTATATAATTGACAATGTTACGAATAGTAGATACTACAAGTAGCAAGTATGTATTAGAATGATAAAAAGGCATGGCATGTCATGCGTATTAACATTTAATGTTGTTGTTGTTCTTGTTTAAGCTTTGTTTGTTTATACATGTGAACCATGAAAAGTGAATAAACTGTCAAAATTGACACTAACAGACAACAATTATCAAATTCACATCTTTTTACATTGTTCATTCCTTAACGCTCCTCATTCACTTTTACTTACACTTAATGCTCAAAAAAGAGAAGAATTCCCTAATAAGTATGCACATACATATGTGTATACATACATACATACGTTTATGTATGTACGTAATGTACATATGTATGTATATTGTACATACGTACATGTGGAATTCGATAAAAATAAAAGAGAACTTGTTTTAATTTGACAAAATTACAAGGGCGTGTGATTTGTGAGAAAAATTTTAAATAATTGACATTGAACTGAAGGAAATCTCTTTTATTTATTTATTTTTGTTATAAAATTGCCGATATTATAGAGACATACTGAAATATTAAGAGACATACTGAAGGTATGAGTACTAAAAATACGTACAGATCATATTGAAACTAAACTCTTGCCAAATGTGGAGAAAATTCCCTTTCTTTGCAGGGAATTTTTAATTTACAAAATTTAATTTTTTTGAAAAGTTTCTTACAAATTCTACTAGGTTTTTATTACATAATGAAAGTATTTTTAAATTTGAACAAAAAGTTTAATTTTTAATATTTCAATGGAATTTTAAATATTTGAGTCAAGTATATCTTACAAAAGGTATCTTCCATTTTTATAATTCCCACAATAAAATAACTTACAGTGTCAACAACAAACAATCATTAAAAAACGTATATTATAAAATATGAAATTCGATTGAAATAATTTAGATTGTTTTACTAAAAATTATTTTTTTCAGATCTCTTTCAAGTTTAAAAAGAAATCGTGAGTTTTGAATAGTAGAATAGTTGAATTTAATATGTTTCTTATCTGAATTTTACCTATATTTATACTTAGGCTGTGTGTAATTTTTTAAGTCATGGAAATAAAACCATATACGGACATCACTACGTCATTGAGGACCAAAAAGATCAGTGACTTCCAGTTTTGTGTAAAGTCATGCATATTTTTAAGGGTCCCCTCGGTATCATTTTCCGAAATTATGAACATATAACATTTTTTCATTTCATGTGAAAAGTTTTACATTGTGAAAATAAACTGCTTTTATTATCGACACCTGTACGTATACGTGTTAATGATTTATTGATATTACAAATATTAAGTATACGCCTAATTTAGAGAAGCACTTGAAGTGGTTTTTAAAACGTAAAAAATAGAATTTATGTATTGTTTTCCGATTTTGATCTTGAAGATGAAGAAAATGTCAGTTTTTTTCAAAAATGACACCAAGGTTCCAAAACTTTGGAAAACTTTGAGACACGGGTCTTTTTTTTGTCTTTTATCAAGTACTGGTGTCCGTATATGGTTATATTTTTTCGTTCTGCACTGTTTTATCAAAAAAACATGAAAACATTACTTTACATTTTTACATTTAAAACAAAAAATAGTAGGGATTTTTGAAAAAAATATATTTAAAACAAAATGGTCTTTTGTAAAGGCCCCTTTTGTTAACGCCATTCATTCTTGTAAACTCTTCAAAATGAGTAACATGAATAAGGATTTAAAGAGATTTTTTTAATCTCTTTTATATTTCATTTCAGTGAAAACCAAAATTTTTTGGATGGATGCTGTTTGCTCTGTAATTCTTTATTGTGAAATTGTAATGTGGAGAAGTCAGTGTATAAAAGTTGCTCGCAAAGGACGGCCGAAAGAACTCATTTAAAACGGAACAAAGTAGCGTCTAAACAAATTATTTACCATCATCACCAAAAAAAACAGACACAACAATAAAAATATTCTTAGCGATATAATGTATGTTGTGAGTGAGTGTGAGTGAGTGTAACAACCAAGCCTAGCCAAACAGCCACACCAATTTAGAAAAACAAAAACATCAAACGAAAGGAACAGAGAGCCTTCGTTTAAGAGTGAATAACGGCAGAAACGAGAGAAACAAAAGGATGAAAAAGAAAAAATAATAATAATAATAAAATGTATTTGTGTATGTGTGCTATGACGAGACGCGCCTAGCCTAGCAGCTGTAAGTTTTCCAAATAATGATGATGCCGACCGATGTGATGTGACGGCGACGATGATGCTGTGCGAAAATTTAGTCTACTCTATACATTTAAAGCGTCAACATCCCGGATTGGAATGTAGCGTAATGTAAATGTTTAACGAATAAAATATTACTAACGGTCTAATGTAGTTTATTAGAAAACGTACAAATATTGTGAGAATAATGCTAGAGGGGACTCAAGAGCAAAGGAATACTCAAATATAAAGCATAAATGAAAGAAGAAAAACAAAAAAACTAAACGAAAATCTAAAAAAGTTGTATGCTATAATTTTTTGGGTGTGGACTTTTTCCTTTAGCAGTGATATTGAGTGCTCTTGTTTTTATAGTTTTTCCTGTACCAACAATAACAAAAAATTAAACGAAAACTTTATAATTTGATAAATGATTGTATTTAATAATTACAAAACCACAATTATGATTATTTTATAAAAGAGAAAAAATAAAATTGTGGTTAAAGAATGAAAAAATATTTATTTAAAAAACCTTTTATTAAAAAAAGAGAGAGCAGAGCAAAATGATACACGGATTTATATAAATTTATCTATATTTTGTGTATGTGTAGTACAATGTTAAAGTCCTTGAAACATGTTATGCATGTATGTCTACGTATGTGTGTATGTGTATATTTGTATGTGTGTGTTTATGTGTTACAACAAAATATTAGACAACAAAAACAAAAATACTCGTTTATGAAAAAAATGAAATAAAATGAACGTATTTTAAGGGCAACTTGTGCGTCTGTAATGGAAAAATGGCTAAAATAACTAATCTAATCTAAATCTAAAAAATAACACAGAAATCCTTTTAAGAGTGCACAATAAAAAATAAGTCCATGCAAATTGAATTGAAAAAGTGTTGATACAATTATAAATGTTGTGATATTTATTGTAAATGGAATTGAATGTGTTGAAAACAAATTGCAAAAGATCTAGTTAATTTTATACACACAACCTTCACCATCGCTATCATCATTATCATCACAGTCATCATCGTCAATATCGGCAGTGGCATTAACCAATAAACATACCCGTTGTCTACGTTGGCTCCATTAAAGTTAACGCAAAGGACCTTTTTTATTATTGCAACTATAAAAAGGGACTTGAGGCAATTCTAATAAATATTTCTTTCTGTCTTTTTTTTATTTCGTTTGGCCTCTTTTGTTATGACACTTGCTAAAAGGAATATAATAATAAAAAAGACAAAAAAGAAAACAACAAAAAGAAAAACCAGATTGTACAAAGAATTTGTAATGACAACGCCATAAAAATCTCATATCCTGTTGAGCAGCAAATATTTTCTTATTTATTTTTAACAAACACCCAATTACAAGACCTAGGGTCAATCGTATATATGTACATATCGACCAAAATGCCTAATGCCTGCCACCCAACAATACATCGATAACATCCATACTCAATCAAATGTTTAATATCGCGTGAATTTATTAGGTTTTTTTTATAGAAATCGAATTAGGATTGTCATGATGCTGACCAAGTCTTTCCTTTTTTTCTTACGTTTTGGAACTTTTTTTGCCCTTTCCATAAGTCAAGATTGTTTGTGATTTTTTCATGTTCCTGTTGTAGTTATTGTTTTGTGACAACTTTTATTGAAAATATTGTTGGACCAAATATTAACGTTCATATGTATGTAGATACAAACATTTATGTATACTTAGTACAAAAGAAGTTACAAATATTTATATTATTTACTATATCAAATTAATAATTTATCAACAACAATATAGACATCGAGTTAACAAGAATTGGGTGTGGAAAAAATTCACACAGGCAAAGAGATTACGGCATAATATTTATATAACTTTACCTTATTCGAAGAATTATAAATTAAAGTTAAGAGCGATATAAGTTGTTTTCACTTTTATTTTTTGTTTAATACAACCACTGTTGTAATACATTCACTAACAACAAAATATAATATTTTATATATTAATAAAAAATATGTGTGTATAATATTCTTCTAAAGGATTAAATTTAAATTTTGTTAATTTTGAAAAACAGCCTTTTTCCCCACATTGCAATTTTTCACTTTATAAAAATTCTACTACTTGACTTATTAAAAAACAAATTAAAATGTGATTAAAATACCAAATTAAACTATAAATACTAATTATGATCTTTTGAAAAATAAAATATAAAAAAGAAAAAAATATAAAAAGGAGTGAAAACAGTATTCTACATAAACAGCAACGAAATTCAAAAGCGAAAGCAACAAGAAGTTTAAGCCACAATGACCATCAGAATTAAAAAGGAAAACCACGTCGAAACTCAAATGTTTTATAGAAAATTTAAATAGAAAGTGATTTTTTGTTGTTTTCCTAGACGGCATCTTCTTCTTCTCGAGTTTATTACCAACCAGTCAAACAAACCCACCCAAAATTAACCCACATTTTATATTGCAAAACAAAAAATCCAAAAATTACATGAGAATATACAAGAAAGTGCAAAAAAATAAACAAAGCTAAACAACAGATTCTAAAACAACAACAACCAAACAAAAAAATATAACCTTAAATAAAAAAAGCTTAAGAGGCAAAGTTAAAAAAAAAACAAGTTGAAGTAACAAGCAAAAAATAAAAAAATATATATATAATAATAACGACCGTCCTTAACAAAAACATAAAGTAAAAATAAAAATAATAAAAGTAATGTAAAAAAATAAACTAAATAAATAACTTCTTCATACATTCAAAGAAAACATTTGGTACAAACGACAAGTCGGCGAGTCTGACAGTCGACCAGTTTTTTCGTCATTTAGCCAACAAGCAATTCTTTTAAAAAAGATCTAATGTTGTAATAGTTTTTGTTGTTTCTATATTTTATTTCATTATATTCATTTTCTATCGTCGTCGACGTCGTAGTCGTTTTCCTGGAAAGATATAAAAATTCTTGCATAAAATTATTTATACGAGCAGAGCACTAAGAAAACTATAAATGTTTTTTAATACAACTCAAAATATTTACATATAAAAAGTAGCAGAAAAACAACAACATCAAATACAAAAAAAAAACAACAACTAAAACATTAATCATACGCCTCGATGCCTCTTCATTTGCTCATCTATAATAAAAAGAAAAGGTAAAAGCTAAGGGAAATGTAAAACTATATAAATACCTATACATTTACATACAAAAACAAAAGCATTAGGATGGACCAAAAAGCTAAGTTAGAAAGTATAGTTGGGCAGACTGGAATATATGACAAGTTTAATAGTTCATTCATACATATAATATAAAAAATAACTTTCTTAAATTTATGTGAATATTACAAAAGAAAATAGAAATTAAATTGATATCGAAAAAATCCTGAAAATTGTTTATAAAAGCCATAGAGTGATAGTGAAGTTCTTTAAGATTACTATTTCTTTTTATCTATATTTGTATGCCATGTACATTTTTTCTTATAACCTTTGACGCATATAAACCATACTTTAGCAGTATACAAAGTATATAAAGTAAAGAAAATATAAATTAAAAAACATCAAAAGTTGACTTAGTAATGTGGTTTCGGTATAGTATAAATATGTATGTATGTACCTACCCTAATGTATTTATATGTAAGAGTAAAAAAAGGTTTGTTTATATTTAGTTATTTCGTTTTATGTTTATTATAACAATAACAAATAACAGCAACATGTATTTACATTAGGTCGAAAACCAAACTGGAGCAGAGACCTTCAATTTATTCTGTCGTTAAATTTAAACTTGATTGAACTGACAGAGATCCTTAAAGTTCTCATTTTTACTTTAAGTGAAATGCTTTATTAAAATGTTAAGACATTCTTATGTGTTGTTTCTAGATAACGAGCGAGTAGTTTGAGCACAAATTTTACTTGTATTTTATTATTGTAACAAAAACAAAATACAAGTAAAATTTTAACTCAAACTACTCACACGTTATCTAGAAACAACACATTAATAATACTTTTGAGAGTAGTTAAAAATCTTAATACGTTTTTTATAATAATACGGTAGTGGTTAATAGTTGAAGAACTTATTTATAATCAAATGTTTATTTTATTTATACATAAATCAAATTTTGTATGGAAATATTGTTTTATATATATTTTTTTAATAAAAATTTGATTATAAAACATTTTCTAGTGGCATATTAAATAAATTTCAGGCGAATATAAATTGATATTAATGTACATACGTTTAATATTTTTGGGCTAAACACTTTGTAAATGGCGCGCAAAACATTTAGCTTTTAAAGTTAAAATTACACACGATTTAATAAAGTTGTTTAAGTTTAAACATAAGTATCCAGCAAAAACTCGGTAATGACTTGTACTTATAAAACTACTTACTTTTCAATGACTGATACATACCCTTAAAAGTATTGACTTACATATAATCAGATACGTACGTACTTTATTTTAAGTTTTGCTGTATTAGTAGGACCTTTTATTCGATAATGCGATAGTGTGTGAAAACTAATATTTAACGCACAATTAAATAAGTAAGCAGTGGTTTCGTAAGTTAGCGAACTTACAAACATGAGAACCAGGTTCGTATTCTGTGTGAGCATTTTTTGTGCATAAAACAAAACAATTTTTTAACTACTTATTTGTAAGTACTTATACAAGGAGTTATTTGTAAGCGAGCGTATTAAGTACTTGCCGCCAAAGTCATCAACGTGTTAAAATAATGAGTTAAAATGCTATTAAATAAATAGTTAATAGCGGCCTTTTTAGCTTTTTAACTTATTACATTTCTATATAAGTTTTTGCTGGGTATAAATCCTTAAATATGCAACAATGTTTTGATACTACAAAATTTTTAAAAAAATCATTGGTTTAGAAAAATTAAGCATTTAATTATCAAATGTCAAAACATGATTTTTAGTTTTAACGTTTACAACAACGAAAATTATAGATTGGAAGAGCGCATATTTTATAGCACTCAGTTCAAAAGATTTTATGTTGTGTCAGTCTTGTAGAAAAAGAACGTTATGTAAGACGGCGTAATTTCTTTCAGCAATAAAAACAGCTTTAAATTTTAATGCCATTTTACTAATTTTAATTAATTTTAGTTTAATGCTTATGTTTTAAATCTAAATATAAACAAAAGTTGTACTTAAATTGGTATCTATGCTAAATTTCATTCATAATTTGAATAATAAATAATATTATTGCGGTAGAAAGGGCGTAATATATTTACATATATTCTAAAATTCTAGAATTTGTATGAAAATGAGAGATATATAGGATTGTTTGCTGAATATTGACAAAAGACATATTCAACATGTCAAAGAACTGGCACTTCAGAATAACAACAATGTTCCATAGAAAATTTAAGTTAATAGTTCCATATGCATTCGTTATAGAAATATTTTTTTGAACAAGTTCAAAAATTTTCTCCGGTGTTAAAATATATATTTTTTTAATTTCCATTTTGACCCATCAACACACATTTAATTAACCTTAATACATTAAATTTATGTTTGCTTAAATATCTTTGATATTATGAAAGTATATATTTAAGACAATATAAATCGTAACATAATAGTTTCACGAAAAAATCCAACAAAACAAATAATTTATATGAAAATGTATATTAGAGAGTCCCGTAAAAATATTTAGTTATAGTATAGTTCATGAAGCGATTAAATAAGAAAATACAAAACTTTTGGGGAAAGTTTTTTATGTTATACGACTGAACTGTTTTCTTGTAACCATGAACGTAAACCCTTAAAATGGTTTGATATATAAATTCTCAATAATTAGATAGATTTTCATACAATTAATTTACAAAAAGCACTAAGGGACACTCTAAAGTATATGTATTTATGTCGTTATAAGTATATATACATACATATGTATGTATATATTGTAGTTATAGTTATAAATGTTTATGTGCTTAAGTATATTAGAATATATTATAAAAGTATAGTAATCTCTGCTAAACTAATCAAATTCAAACCACACCCTCTCGTTACAGAGTACAACACAACAATATCGAGTGAAGCTCAGCAGCCACAGTCAAAAACTAAATAAACATTAGATGAAACCTTCGAATCAAACGGCGAAAAATTAGAAACTAAAGTAATGTGTTTTTATTCTGCCTGTAAAATAACAAAATGAAATCTTTAGAAAAAGTTGCTGGCACAATGTCCTGCTGTTTTCAATAACAAAAATTAAACAAACAAACAAAAAATAGATGAGAAGAGAAGAATACATTCATTACGCCAGCACAAAAACATTTGCAATTTCATTTTACGCCGATTTCAAATATCTCTGTAGAAAATTCAAGGCATGAAATGAATTCTATCCATGAATTGGAGAAATTAAAGAATAGTGCCACACAGAGACAACAAGAGAAAGACGGAGATTGAGAAAGTTGGAAACTTTTCTAATGTAATAAATACAAATCCTTTCAAAATGAAAATTTAACCAAATATTTCGACTTTAACTAAAGACACCAACCACCTCATTTTGAAACAGTGAAACGGATGGGAACCTAACCGGAAGAGGGAGTAAACGATTTATATTGCAAAAATGAAAGGATTTAATTTAAGACAAGTGAAGGAAGGCTTAAACAGCAGGTACAAATCAAAAAACTGCTGGAGTCTTAAACAGCAGCCACCACTAAGACTAAGAAATAAGGCAGGTGGTAAAAAAACAATTCAAAAAAATCTTGAAAGTGAAATTGAATTACAATTGAGAAGACAAACATTCGAATTGAACATGGCACAACCCTACGAGAGATGGAAATTGGGACGTGGGGAAACAATAACGACAACAGCAATAAAAACAAGTTGTAAATTTAACACCAAAAACACTGCCGATTTTAAGTGTATAAAACAAACTACAATCAACACCTTCAGTAGGCAACGTTGCCATCGTTTTCTTCATAAAGATAAACCAAACAATAGCAGCGGAAGAAAAAACAGCAACAGCACTTGTGTTAATAATACCAAACATCATTTGATACGAAAAAGTCCTGAAGACCCAACAACCATTAACACTAAAACCAAAACCAACACCAGCACCATAACCACCACCTCCAGTAACAGTAATAACTACAAGAGCAACAATTACAATTATTATTATAGCACAACTAAATGTTTAAGTCCTAAAACAACACACTTTTTAAGTTTAGAAAAAACAACAACAACAGCGACAACTAGAGGAAAAGGAAGAACAATAGCCACAACCAACACCTCAAATTCATCATCAGCGAAATCTGCCTTAATCACAACTACCAACGACAAAAGCAACTACAAAAACAGCATGATTAACAACAACGATTCAACCTCCATTCCATCTACATCCTCCTCATACCAAACCACCTTAAAAGTAAACAACTCCAGGACAAAGTCGACTACAACAACCGCTACAACTCCTCCACACTTCGTAACCAAACCCTCGATATTTTATATTATTTTGCTTCTCGGTTTTATTTTATTGTATTCATGTCCTGCAACGCAGGCCATCCGCTTAGCAAATAGCATAACGAAAAGTTCTTCGGCCAATAAGGAACAATTGTACATCGGCCTAATAGCGCCGCATACAAATTTTGGCAAACGAGAATATTTACGCGCCATTCACACTGCCGTATCGGGTCTCAATAGAACGCGCGGTGCCAAATTAACATTTTTCAAAGACTATCAATTCGAACCAAGAAATATACGCTTCGACATGATGTCCTTAACACCAAGTCCAACCGGTAAGTGTACAATACCGTTTTTTTTTTTTTAATATTAAACTAAAGCCACAAATGGACAGAGTTATACCTAAAAAATAATGGTTATTTTGAATATAACGTGGAAAATGCTTGTTAGGACCTTTGCTTAATATTATATTTTATTACTCTTTATCTGTTTGCTCCGCAACGGAAATGTTGAATGATTCTAAAATAAACAATGTAACGAAAAGGACAAACAGTTTGTTTTCGTTTTTAATTTACTTCTTTATTTGTATTTTTATGGTCAACTTTTCCTTAGTAGGTAATTTCTTTTTTTTTTTTCATTTGTATGACATTTACCTCATTTTATATAATCTCAGCTGTTATATTAAGTACAATTATCTATAGAAATCTAAATAGGGTGTAAATTAAAATTTTGGGATATTCTACACAAAATACACATGTATATTGCCACTAGTCATTAGGACGTTTGATTTCATTTTTATTTGTATATACTTTATTGTAATTTTATAGAGAGATGTAGGGTGCTTAATGTAAAATGTAAAATTATTTAAATATTTATTTTATGTTTGTGGTAAATATAGTTTTAAGGTATTAAATTTTTACTCCCAACTAATGGTGGTGGTTACTAAACAAGAATTTTTTACGACAAAAAATTTTACCATAAACCACTTATGGTAGTGAGAGATGATTATTGTGTTAACGATTAAATTGAAACACCTTTAAATGAATAACATAGGTACACCAAAACACATTCTAAGTTACAATTTTCAGTTAACTATATTAGGGTATTTGGTTTTGTCTTAATATTGAATAGTCTTAATTTTTGGAAGTTTTTTCAGACATTTTCTACATCAAAAAAAAGTGATAATTCAGAATAGTTTAACATTATTCAGTATTGTTCAGCTCTGTTTGGCAAAGGCAAATACATATATTCAACGTAATAAATATGATCAGGAAATAGTAAATATGTAGACATATTTTAGTTTTTTTGTTTATTTACATAGACTGCTTCAAAAGTTTCATTTGAAATCTAAAACGACTAATCGCTTGCTACTCTTATGTGGTGAAAAGGATATTAAAAAAATTATAACAAGGAAGCTAAATGATTTAGATGAATAATTAAATGTTCCTTCAATTGTTCATCCATTTTTTACGACACAGTCTTAAAAATTAAATATTTACTAAATTGTGATAAAGAAACCTAAATAAACATTGTTGGTTTACTGCATTGTATGTGGATTTGGTCCTACATAATTATATAATTACAATTTTCATGCTTATATGACGGCATGTATTTTACAATGTTTTGTGTTTTATTTTATAATCATTTATAAATTATGTTGGATTTAAAATATTTAATAGCGAATACTTATGAAATTAATTTATTTTTATACCACTATTTAATTTTTATGATTGCAAATGCCATTTTTTATAAAAAAAAGTAATTACATTAAAACGATGCTGGAATATACAGCTTACAGGAATATAATTATAGGTCCGATCTTTTGCTTTACATAAGAAACTAAGTACTCCCAGTAATATAAGCTTAACTTTCTAATCAGATTTTTGTGTTAAAACTGCTTTGGAATTTTTATTAATTTTGTTATAGTTGTTAGATTAATTACGGGTTTGGTCAAAGTTTCTTTGTTTTCACTTCCTAAATACTTACGAGCACAATTATTTTTTGTTTCCTCTTTGCCTGTTCATTATTAAGCTGTTTGTGTTGTTAATTAAAAGTTGACGATTTTTTTCTTTCGAATTTTCCTGCAGCATTTCTTTTGAATTTAAAAAAGGAATCTAATTCTTTTTATAAACTTACTTTGGTAATTTTTGGGTTTCCTTGGTTTTTTTTACCAGTTTCCGGTGACCTCTTGTCACAGTAATTTCATTTAATGATACTAATGTAGCAAAGATACTTAAATGTAGCTGAAATGAATTATGGAGTAATGCTTTAGATTTATTATACATTTTATTAATCCTCTTTTATTGTTTGGACAAACGAACATCACACATCCATCCCACAGCCTCCCTCGGCATCAGGGGTATAATGGGAGGTTTCCTAAAGAAAAATTGATGAATTTCTCTTTATCAAGCAAATTTGTTGGTAATTTTTTGATAAATAGCGAAGTGTTAACGAGCTTTCACACATTGTGGGTGTGTAACTTTAAAGTTTTTTTTTCTAATGGAATTGCTTTTAAAAACACTTACTTCTAATGTCGAAATGGTATGAGTGTGAAAATTGTTTAAATTAATCTTAAATATTTGAATAAATTCGAAAGATGGTCGAAATGAAAATGAAAACATTACTTTTTTATTTTAAAATAAAAATACATTTATTATCTTGCAAAGAGAGATACATTTAAGGCACATTAATATATGTATGCTTTAGAACAACTTAATAAGATGCATGTCATTGTCCAAATTTATGATATTTTATAAAGTCTTTATAAGCCAGTATTTGTTTAGGAATTGGATTAAAATCTTCCTTGACTGTTGCTGAATATGAAATAATACAACAATCAATCATAATGACTTAAATGTCGATTTACATAATTTTATCAGTTTATATTACAAAAATATGAAACAGCTGACCAAACAAAACATTAATGGATTTTCCTCAAAAAAATTGAAATATTAGGGATATAACTTTTTTTATTAATATAAAACTTATTAATATTTGAAATATTTATAGTTTATCAATATTTTAATATACATATTTGGATTAAGGTTTATGTTTAAGATGGAAACATACTTATGTTTCCGAAAAATATTCAATAATGACCAATATAGTAACATTTTGAAAAATTTAACCAGACTCACTTTTTTATTAAAATATTCCAGAATTATTCGATACTACTAAGAAAGCAACTACACGTTTTAACAATTAATCAAATTTGTACATACCCTGCCAGCAATTTTGTAGTCGACTACGAGAAAAATTCACTTCTAGTTTACTTTTACAGACTGACTATAAGCTAACTACATTGTAATGCAGAGCTGTCCCGAAATTTTGTATTTGGCAACATAAAGAACCGACTTTTAAATACTAACTACAAGCTAAACATAATGTAATGCAGAAGTGCCTCAAAATTATCTGTATTAATTGTATTTCAACATGTTTTCTCTTGTTTCTCTATTATTATGATTTTATTTGTTAACTTTAGTAGACTGACTATAAACAAACAACAATGTAATGCAGAAATATTCCAAAATTTTGTATTTATTAACGTAAACAACCGACTTTTAAAGACTAGCTACAAGCTAACTATCATATAATGCGGGAGTACCCCAACATTATCTGGAGAGCATTTTGTTTCGACATGTTTTCTCATGTTTCTTTATTATTTGGAATTTTTTTACATTTTTGTCATTTTCTTGTATACGTTGTGAAATTAGAGTCAGTAAATTGGAAAAATTAATTATAAAAGGTTAAATATTTCAAAACTCGGTCCCTAAATTCTGCTGATTAATACTGTAAATATAATACATTAACAGTTAACATTACACATAACATTTTAAAATTTAGATTTGGGTCAATGGGAATCATGGAAATAATGAACAAATCATTCATAATTTTATGGATACCGGTGTTATTATTAGTTCCCCTGCAGAAAACTGATGTCTATTAATTTTAACGAACTAATATCATAACTTGTATTAAAGCGAAATATAATTTAGATAACTAGTAGTTAAATTTTAAATATATTAAATAAAATGTTATTAATTAATACAGTAGGGAATACAAAAGAAAACTATTACTTGACTTTTCTGAAACTAACTTTAAGTTAGTTAATAAAGAGTTTCCTTTAAGCTAATTTTTTAGTAACTAACTTTAAATTAGTTGAAAAGTCATGCAGAGGCGGACAATTGACTACTGCGTAGGACATCGCCATGTTAAAATAGTCAGTTGGCTCCATTAAGAATAATCCAATAATCAACCATAACTAGTTGATGAAAAAGTCGGCTTTTAATGCATTTAAAGTTAGTTGAGTTGCTGGCAGGGTACATACATACATACATACTTCTTTACAGTTGTGTATGTGCGTGTTAATAATCATAGATACAAACTAATGTAATTGTTATTTAATTTTATTTCAAATTTATTATTTATTCATTGAAATTCCCAAGAAACCTTTTACACACATTGAAATACGGGTTGCATATTTTTTATATAGAAACACACACACAGACTTTAGAATGAGAAAACACTTTAAAATACATACTACCTTCAGTTCGGAGCGACGGTTCCCACCGGCGTTTTAATATTTACGAAGGGGTAATTGACTTTTCAATAAATTATTGTTCATAAGAAAAATATAAAAATAAACCATAAATATGTATGTATGTATGTATATACAAAAATTGGATTCATCCAAACAATTAGAAATTGGTCTAATTGAGCACGATTGCCACTTAAAAAACTATTGAGTTATAATGGTAAACAAATACATACATACATATGTATGTACATTAACAGTTCATATACCCTTTGTTCTTCTTAAATAGGTTCTTATTTTCCATAAAAAAAAATTATTTCCACATTATTTTCCACAAAAAAAAATCATATTTATGAACTTACATACGTATATTAGAGTAGCTCCCTTTATATGGCTGAAATAACGTACTAATAATGTTCCCACCGAAAATGAAAGTTTGGTGCATTCTAAGATACCGTTATTCAAAATTTTTGTTCTAGAGTCAATATTTGCTGAACTGGGACAAAGGATAAAAACATCCTTCTCAAAAGCTTTTTAAATTAGTTCATTTTTAACGCAAAGGAGCGAGATAAAATTTTGATTTCATGTGAAAAGTCTTTTGGGAGACGCTTCGGAACCTTTTTTTGCAGTTTTTCGAAATTCAATTGTATATCAAATTTTATTTCATTTTTTCTAGACTAAAATTAATCCCAAACAACAACATTCATACATATTATCTGCATCTTAATTGAATTGCAAAAGCATGATTGGGCAGAAAATGAGATTTGAAAAATTAAATGCTAAATCGATGAAATTTTAAAC